GAAAGTACAAATAAGTCGGAAAAAGTCACAAATTGTACTTGACAGGTTTCGAACCCACACCCTCATGCATGAGAAACGGGCTCCTTAACCTCCGGCCACCACGACATTTTTGTGCGTTCATTAGTATAAATTACTAGGTAGGTATAGTCTGTGGTATAGTTTTACTTCTGATTTCTCTGGTTGGCGCGCAAAGGAAGGAAATAACAAATTCATTAGAAACACTTTGATTAGGTGCTGGGCCGTTTACGGTTCCGCTACGAAGGTATCAAGGTTTCATTATTATTTCTTCACACAATCCGGCCGATGGCTTTGACACGTATTTTTATATTTACACTGTAATTGTTAAAAGTTCGTTAAAAGTTGTTTTAAACTGTTAAAGGTCGTGGTATTTTTTTATGTAATAGGTCGGTAAAGGAGCAGACGTATTGAATGATGGTAAGCAGTCAGCGCCGCTCATGGACACTCGCAACGGAGGAATTACGAGTGCGTTGCCGACCTTTTAGGGATTAGGGATTTGAAAATTTAGGGATTCAGGAGAGATTGGGGGAGGGGAAGGATTGGGCCTCCGGTAACCTCACTCACACGGCGAAACACAACGCTGTGACCGAGAGAGACGAGAGACGAGACCCATTCGTGCCCAAGCTTGGCTCTCCCACACTTAATTATTCAGACAAATGGTATATTTTCTCGGAAAACGAGCAAACTAGATTAACTGATGGTAAACAATCAGCGCCGTTCATGGTCACTCGCTACACCTAAGGAGATACGAATGCGGTGCCGGCCCTTAGGGATAAAAGTTTTGAATATTTAAGGATTTGGGAGGGATGGGGGAGGAGGAGGGATTGGGACTCCGGTAACCTCACTCACACGGCGAAACACAACGCTGTGGTTGTTGTCCAAATTTGTCCAACTATTTCTAAATGGTTCTTTGTTTGCTGTTGGGATTCCTATCATATGGAAGGGTTGAAATTCATTCAGTGTCTTCTACGGTTCTTCCAGCCTAGGTTGTGCGCAGACTCTTATTGACAACAAACCACCCTTTCCTTCTACTGCTCTGGGCCAGGCTTGTGGTATATCATTGTGGTCCCCAACATCAATCGAGCATAATAGGACCCATCTGTGACGGTATGAATACTCTAATACATGAATGGTCTCAAGCAAGGTCACTCATCCAAACTATAATATAAGCCAAAAATAACTCCGTTTGTCTGTCTGTCTTTTCTTCACGCCTAAACTACTGAACCGATTTCTGGTACAGACACAGTTTGGAACTCCAGAAAGGACATAAGATAGTTTTTATACCAAAAATCTGCAGGAAGTCACATAAACATAATATGTATTATCTATTAGTCTTCGAATAAATTCAAACAGAAATTATTGATAGAATTCAAGATTCGAATTACACTATTATTTCAACCATTATATCTGTATTATTTGTCAAATTCGAATTTCGAACTTTATTTTCATTGGGTATTCTTTTTTTACAATTTATTTATTATTATATTCCATTTTCGAACCGATCGCGATGAATTGCCAATGTTATATTTGCCATTATTATAACACGAATAAGGTCATAAATTAAATAGCTTATATAATTTTAATGTTTGTATTGTGGCAGCGCCTAATTTTTTAAATGAAGAACAACATCCATTCATTGATAATGTGTACGCGTCGACTCAGTATTCGGTATGAGCTAGTGAAAGCAAAACGGTTAGCATCAACAAGCTATAATGTTCCGCATTCACTGTTTTACTATGAGTGCAATGAACACGTTACTATATACACTTACTTTGTATTATTATATATATTTATATGATAGATTTTTATGTGATACCTGATGGTAAGCTATTCCATGGACTCTCGCAATACCAGAGGCCTTGCAAGTGAATGCCTTTTGCGGATAAGGGGTTTTGGGGATTTAGTGATTTGGGAAGCATGGGGAAGGGGAAAACTTAGGCCTTCGATAACCATGCTCACACGGCGAAAAAGTACGCTATAGTTGTTTCAAGCCTATTTCTCGTGAGGCCGTGGTAAAACTCACTCAAGTATACTTAATATAAATATGAAGTTTTTTTCTGTCTATTAGCTATCAATGATTATCAGTAGATCCTCCTTTTGTCGAATTAGGTTAAGTTACCTGTAATGGCAAAGTAATATGTAGAAATAAATAAATAAATAAATAACTTTTTTGCCCGTGCTGCATGAATGTCCCTAGTCCTTTTTCCCACTAAAGTAAGCCAAGTTTTGAAGATCAGTTTTATTCAGTGTTAAAATTAGCGCAGTTGTAGGGAAACGGGCTGCCGCATTACGTGACGAGGGTTCGATTGTTATTGATCCAAGTCCTGGTATGATGTATATGTAAATTGTGAGAAAATCCTAATACGGGGAATAAAAAATAATTTATTTTACGTTAGACTTTACTTCGGGTTGTGATCTTCAAGTTTCGTTAAATTTTTTCTATACTCAATAGTCATTTAACGAACCTCGAACTCATGTAATTTACATTCAGTCAACAAAGTATCGGGAATAAATGTTTGTTTTTATGGTTCCAAATTCGAATTTTAATTTTTTTGTTGTTGTTAGATTGGCATAACTGTTTTCCATTTTGGCGCGGAATTTGAGTTGCATCTGTTATTTATATTAAAAACAGTGCTGTTTTTAGTTTTATAATATCTAGTGTGTATTGCGAATTTCATAATGGACAAAAACATCGAACAAAGAGTTTGTCTTAAATTTTGCATCGCCAATGAAATTTCGTGTTCGGAGGCACTCAAAATGTTACAGAAGGCTTACGGTGAATCGACTTTATCAAAAACACGTGCTTATGAGTGGTACAAAGCGTTCAAAAGCGGTCGAGATGTGATGGAAGATTTGCCTCGTTCTGGTAGGCCATCAACGTCTGCAACTGAAGTTAACATCGCAAAAGTGAAGAAAATAGTGACTGAAAATCCTCACTCAAGTTTGAGAGAGATGGCCGCCGAACTTTCTGTATCTCACGAGTCGATCCGTACTATTTTAACAAATAATTTGGGTATGAAACGTGTTGCCGCTCGGCTAGTCCCAAAAGACCTGAATTTTCTTCAAAAACTAAATCGCATGAAAGTCACTAAGGACATGCTAGAACGAGTCAATACCGACCCAACATTCATGAAACGCATTGTTACTGGTGACGAGACGTGGGTTTACGAGTTTGACATGCAAACTAGTCAACAAGCTTCGGAATGGCGCCTTCCAACTGAACCAAAACCGAAAAAACCACGTCAAAGTCGATCAAAAGTCAAAGTCATGTTGACTGTTTTCTTTGACTATCGCGGTGTTGTGCACTCAGAATTCTTGCCCGAAGGAATATTATTTGAGCGTTATGCGGCGTTTAAGAGAACAAATTCGACGAAAAAGGCCAGAAATGTGGAAAGAAAATTCTTGGATTTTGCATCACGATAATGCGCCTTCGCACAAGGCCATCATTGTAAACGATTTTTTGTCCAAACACTCGACAAACACCATCGAGCAGACACCATATTCACCAGATATGGCTCCAGCCGACTTCTTTCTTTTTCCCACACTCAAATTACCCCTTCGTGGCACCCGTTTTCAATCGTTAGAAGACATAAAGGAGAATTCGCACTGAACTCAATTCCGTAAACAGCGTTTAAAAAAAGTTTCGATGATTGGATTATTCGTCGGCGTAAGTGTATCGTTTCTGAAGGAGCATACTTTGAAGGTGATAAAATAAATTTAGATGAATAACAAACATTTTGTGTATTATTGACTTTTTCCCGGTACTTTCTTCACAGAGTAGTATACTATTCTATATTTTAATAAATGAGGTAATATTCAATCCTTAAAATTATACTATTTTTCATTTCTAGATTTAAAAAAAAAAACGCTTTTAACCTTAGATATTCAACCACCACTAATGAATCTTTATTTTTATCTTAATTTGTAAAAAGTAGCCTTGAAATCCGTCTTTGTTTTGTTCAAATTATCTTCGCATTTATTTATTGTAATGACTAAAACAGTTTACTCGAATTGGCTTTTTTAACTTCTTTTTATAATGAACTCAGAGAACAAAAATGAACTAGCAGTCTAGCAGCTTTGCTACGTAATTATTAAAGAATGTAATTTAATATTCATGCTAATTATAAATTATTTACCGATAAACAATATTTATCTGTTATATAAGTATGAAGTCTTTCGACTATGATTAGAATTATTTGAAATGTTCAATTAGGCGCGGACTATCGGGCAGGAAGACAGTATTTCTATAAGTTAACTGTTGCTATAATCGCTTTTCTTACAACTCTTGATATTACAATTACAATTTAACTAAGGATAATTAAGATTAGGTTGAATTTGAACTTAACGTCCACCGAACACGTGGCTGCGTGCATATTCTACGAAGGTCCAACACTAAATTGTCCGGTTTTGTTCATCATCAGCCTATAAGTGACAACTGCTGAGCAATGGCCTCTTCACATACGGAGAAGGTTAGAGCATTGATCACCACGCTTGCTCAATGCGGGTTGGCGATTTCAAACTTATAATTAGGAATTATAAGACCAGGCTTCCTTACGATGTTTACCTTCACCATATGTCAGTGGTGTCTAAATAATCATAGAAAGTACATATAACTTGGAAAAAGCACCTTGGTACTTGATGAGAAGAACTGAACATCGAGCTCAGTGGCGTGTAATTGGAGAAGCCCATGTCCAGCAGTGGACGGAAACGGGTTGATGATGATGATGATAATGATGACTTATTATGAGTAATCAGTTCAGTAATATTTATACATAATCAGTAACCTAAATTATGTTGGTATTTCCAAATTATTTCCAATACCAATTTATTTAATTTTTTCAAGACTTATAATATATTTAAAAGATATTATTACGTTATACTGTAAAGCTATTTCTATACAACAATAAATCAACAGTACACAACAAAAATTATAAACAAACAGACACGAATACCTGATAAGTAACCACAAAATAAATATTTACCTCAACACTTAAAGCGGGTATCTCCAAAAATACTTGCAATTATCACAATCACAATTTTATCACTTAAACTAATCACACAGGAAACGTACGATTAATCACTTTATTTATAAGATAATAAAAACACTTTTGCACTGATTAAAAACTAATAAAATAATCGTCAAATAAAATAAAAAAAATATATTTTTAAATAACAGACTCGTACGTCATACGTGCCAAAAAAGTAACTAATAATATTATATTAAGTACTAATACCTAATATCGATATTTAAACACGTATTTTGGTAAAATTACTTCGCTTTTCGTAAGACACTGTTATATTTTTTTGTGCAATCGATACGTGTGGTTTGCTCGCGATCCAAACAATAACTGAACATTTCGAGTAAGAGGTATTTTTGTGGGAACTCATTGAGTCATAGTTTCCTGATCATTACGTATTTTATTATTATACCTCCTATTATGGTATTATGCTACTTATATCGGTGTATTACTGAGTAACTATAAGGACAAAATGTGGAGAAAACCTAATTTTAATATTTACTTTAGTTGATAAATGAAGAATGTCATTCAAATTACCTGCTATTTTAATTATAAATAATTTACCGATAAACAATATTTATTTATCTATTAAATAAGTACATATCAGATTTTAAAAACAAAATTGAATGAGGCCTCATTGTTGAATGCGGTATAATCGATCATTTTGAATCGTCAGACAGGACGTCCGTCCCTAATCCCTAAATCTCCGAAACCTTTATCCCCAAAGGGCCGGCAAGGCACTCTTAATTTCAGTGTCTATGATCCGCGCCGATTACTTACCATCAGGTAATCCGTCTGCTCGGTTTCTATCTTATCACATAAAAAAGGAACGGTTTGGTTTTAAGTCAGTAAGAGACCAATACTCCATCTTGCTGTCACCCTTAAAAAATTTGCCTGCGGTCGGCGAGTAAGGGCAGCTCGCCGCCCGACCAGAACCAGGCCCGAGCTTACGGCGCGTAGCGTTCCGCGCGCGCCTCAAAGAGCCAATAGACCACCACACACGAGGCCCTATAGGGCTGATGTTCAGCCGGGGTTGCGGGGTGATTGCAATGAGGCACCGCGACCTCGGCACAGAGCAAGAGAAGGAACGGGGGGTTTTTTGTCAGTATGAGTCTGACACTTCCTCCCGCCCGGCCCTGCGCGGGAGAAGTCATTTGACGACATTCCCATCACAAAAAAAAACTATGTAGGTATGTATATTAATACTCAAGATCGGAACTTGTATACACAGAGAAAGTGCTGTCAAATCAACCGTGAACTTTAAGACAATAGCCCAACGGATTAAGTATCGGTTGCCACGCTAAAGGTCATAGGTTCAACCACGGGTTCAACCGATAATGCCAATTCAATATCATTATTAAACGATAGTTTATAGTTCCTGACGTAATTACTGTAATTATCAAGATTCGATTACATGTCACTGCATTTTATCCGGAATAATTATTGTAATTGGATCCAAGTAATCTTTTTGACCTTTTTTTAGTTTTTTTTGAGAGTATTCCGTAGTTGTTTTTTTATGAGGTAGGTCGGCAAACGATTTTACTATCGACGGCGTCAAACAACCACAGAGCTGAGGTTGTTTCACGCCGGTTTTCTGTGAGACCGTAGTATCCCTCCGGTTGAGCCAACGGCGTAAGGCGTAGGCAACATGGGCCACCACCCACAGCCTCGCGCCCCAAGAGTTATTATTTTTCGTCTTCAGGTCACCATAGAAAAGGGCCTGGCAAAATCAGTCTTGCCCACATTAAAATTTTGCTTTGCCCCGCCACTGCTCCCATAGTTAAGATTATTTTAATTAAAGAAGAAATTATAGTGTTTGACACTGCGTCTCATCAATCATGATAGTGAGATGGTTGAAATTTAGGTAATGATGACGAATTTCTATTGCCGAATGAAAACAAACAAAAGAAATATTTATTGATACCATTCAAGAAATGTGGTAATATATTAGAACAGAGCCCTTTGTGGGTAAGTCTCACTTCAATAACATTTTGTTTTTCGTGGCCCCAACATTTACCTGTCATACCCAGAAAAACAATTGATATTTGTGCAGATAGCAAATGAAAAATAAAATTAATTCTTATGTTTAATTTAATTTTGTAATCAGTCTGTTCTGTGGTACTAATGACACATGCCGTGGTGGCCCAAAGGTTAAAAAAAAAAAGGTTAAAAGGCTTTCTTGGGATGATTTGAATGAGAACTTAGGGATCGTGAAAAAAGGAACCTGGACTTCATCATCATCAGCCTGATTTCGTTGACTGCTGGACATATTACATTACTAGACATCACCAAAATTATCAAATAATTAGAAATTAGAAACAAATTTCTAATATAACAAATGAGAAAAGAGGTTTTTGCTCACCAGTGGACACTTAGGTATATATTGATGATAATGATAAATTCCAAATCTGAAATTCCTAACACCCATAATCTCAAATTTTTTTCTTTAAAAACGGACCTTTAAATGTGGGAGAGCCATGCTTCGGCACGAATGCTCGACCGGAGTGATACCACGGCCTCACAGAGGACCGGCGTGAAACAACCGTGTGTTGCGTTTGTTTCGCCGTGTGAGTAAGGTTACCGGAAGCCCAATCCTTCCCCGCCCCCAATCCCTCCTCAATCCCTAAATCTCCAAATCCCTAATCCCTAAAAGGTCGGCAACGCACTCGTAAATCCTCCGTTGCGGGTGTCAATGGGCGGCGCTGATTGCTTACCATCAGGCAATTCGAATGAGTCTGCTCGTTTGCAGACCAATTACATAAAAATAAACGGACGTGAAAACTCCACCAAATACTTTTAAACTGAGACAATTCATTTTACTGATCGACTCTAACCTTGAATCTCTGCTTATTTCAGATAAGAGTACTTACAAGCGTGAAGATTGCAGTAAGTATATACCGAAATAAATTGGCAATAATATTGTAAATGATTCATCATTGCGAATCATTGTTCTAAACTGCGTGTATTGTAATCTGTAAGGCCACCATATTGATATACGATTTGGGAATAATCTGTTCATGTTAGTTATGTATTTGAGGGATTGAAAGTATAAAAAATATGACATTCTGCCCCCTATCAATCACGACATCAGTGATAGCGAAAAGGCGGCAACATTATAATGGAACTGGGCTGGATACGTTAGCGATGGGCCACTATTGTCACCCAGTGGATAAATCCGGATGGCTGCCGCAGGCGGGTTAGGCCCAGGAAAAGATGGCGCGACGATCTGAACGCCTTGTCGAGACAGGTGGACACAGTTGAAAGATCGGGAGGTGTGGAAGCAAGATGGGGAGGCGGGCAAAGGCCCCCCATTGTAGGACATTATAGGCTAGGAAAAAAAAGTGTAATGACCATAAGCTCACTTACGTATCATTAATCTATATATCTGATGAAGCGATGTCTATCGTATTTAAGAGGAATTATTAATACCACTATAAAAAACTTTTCAGATTAGATAACTCATTGCTTATCATAGTTATCATTCTCATGCGTAAATGATATCTGAAATTCTTTAAGAGATCAGACTACAAAGACGGTGTTTAAAATAGAACAGATTATTACTTTACAATTACCAAGATTATAATACTTAATTTCTTTTTTGGACTGATGAGAAATAGGTTTAATATTCACATTCGGAAATACTGTCGGGTTATTCTGCAATACATTTTTTGACAACTAGTCAAATACAAATATGTTTGTCCGAATCTAAACAGGTTTTAAACACGTTGCCATACACAAGCATTTTGTCCTGTGTCGTGGTTGCGTTTACAAACAAACAACACATATCACACCCATACCTGGAACATCAATTGTGGATCACGCAAAGAGTTGTTCCGTGCGGGAATCGGACCCGCGACACGTTGCGCAGCAGCCAGTTGCCAAGTCACCGCACCAACCGTGCACACATTTGCAATTGCGTAGCATTTAAATGCAAAACATTAAAACTTACTTTGTGAGTATTCGTGTAAAACTGTATCTTGTTAAATTTCTGTATTGTTACTATTGGGTTTGAAATCGGCAATTCGCCTTGGAGCAAACGTGGTGATTTTTTTCCGTGCAAGTAGAGGTCTTTGCTCAGCAGTACATACAGGCTGATGAAGATAAAATGAAAAAAAAATCTAGGTAATGAAACATCTCTCTTCGGCTCAACAATATGGTCGCCCTACAAAATAAACTTTTTCTGCTTTGTAGAGATGAGCGATCTCTTCTGTTTTTTATTTTCGATACGCTCGAACTGTCTCGCGCAAGAAGGTCGTGATACAATTACAAACTACACAGTGTGAACAAATATTTGATGATTTATTTTTAAGGTATAAAACGAGCAGACGTTTTACCTGATAATAAGCAATCGGCGCCGCTCACGGTTTAGACGAATTACGAATGCGTTGAAGAGTTTCGAAGATTTAGAGATTGGGAAAGGCTTAGGGAATCAGAAGAAGGATTGGGCCTCTGGAAATCTTATTCATACACTCAGAATAAACAAAAAAAAAAACAGTAAAAATATGAAAAAGAATTGGCGAAATCTGTTTAGAAGTGGTTGAGTTAGAGATGGGCTTCTATTGTCACCCAGTGGACACCTCAGGATGGAGGCCGCAGGTGGGGTAGGCCCCGGAAAAGATGGCGTGACGATCTAGACGCCTAACGTTGAGACTGGTGGACACGGTCGAAGGATCGGGAAGTTTGGAAGCGAGATAGGGAGGCCTTTGATAAGCAGTGGCACATTATAAGCTAGTAATAATAATAAAAGTAGACAGATATAACGTATGGCTGGCTTAGAACCTACATGCTACAAATACCTTCATCTTGTATTTAATCCATATTGACAGTTGTCGCCTTGTCGCCTTCACCGACACTTGCTTGAAGGGAGCGATTACTGCACAGTCACGGAGTATAGAAAAGTCAGAGAGCATTTTAACAAAAAAATAATATAGGTATTTTCAGACCACAATATTATCAAAACAGTGTATAACTAATATGAGAAAATTAAAATTAGCACAACTCAGTCAAAAAAAAACGAAAAAAAAATATGTGACAGTGACATTCGCACTGTCACATTTTCTTTATTAAATTTAAAATGATTGGGACGTACCAATTTAAAAATTTAACCATTTTTCAATTAGTTCCCCACACTGGAATTTTCTCCAATGTCGTGGCTGCGTTTACAGACATACAATTTCACAACCACATCAGACCCACATAAAACACAACAATTTGTGAATCACACAATTAGGTGTTCCGTACGGAAATTAAACCCACAAACTGCGCTCCCA